AAAAAACTCATTTAGTTTATAAAAATGCCATTTTTTTGGTGGTAAATATATTTAACATGACCTATTAGGAACATACTGACTTTTATTTCTCTTTATTTATAAAATAAATTCCGTAAATGCTACAAACTTCAAAAGGAATTATGTATTTTATAACTTTTATACGTTTTTTAAAAGTGACAAATGGCTACCAATTTTATTCAAACTCACTTCAAGAGAGCTGAAGTTATTGAAAAATGGAAACCTAAATTAAAAGTGGTAAAACGTGGTGGTAAGTATACTTACCACAGCCTTCAAAAGGGTTAAAGAGCGTTGTTTCAAAATACATTTAATGTATGCATAACAACTTAGAAATATTTGATAGTTAAAGAACTCTACTTCTACATGAATCTTTCCGCCACAAGTTGATGAATTCTAAAGGATCAAAATTGTGAATGGAGACATTTTAATGACAATTTTGTTTTCCAGAGTCTTCCTGCATTGATGTCATTTTATCATTAAGCAATCGTGAAAAAAAACTAAGAAAAAGTGACCGGTTGCTTATTCAGTTTTCACTTTTATTATTATTCACTTAGTATAGTTATTCACTTTTTTTTTGACCCGTCATGTGGCGAGTATCGAGCGGCTATTTCCATATCTATGTACCTCTAAAAATATTACTTGCTGGTCTTATCTATTAAGCTCCTCAATGAGGTAGTCAATAGAAAAGAAAAAGCAATGTACAATAACTGAAACAATTAAAAAGTCATATACATACAAAATAAGAAAAAAATATTACTTGATTTGAGTTACTTTCTACTGTTTTTGATATAAAAATATAAGAATAATTAAAAGTATGACATACATGATCATGGAAAGATGGAGTATAACTAGATAATTAATTTGTGCACAAATAGAAATGTTATGAAATGTAGGGGAAGATCGTAAAACACCAATCTGTCCTGTTGCTTGGTTAAATCAAACAATCAGATATCAAGAAAAATATATTTAACAATAAAATGATTATGAGAAAAGTAGGTGTAATAAAGTAAATATAAGGTTCAGTTTTATCGGCAAGTGTGTTATGATTACTACACAGCCGTTATTATCCCATTTTTCTTGTTTTCTAACAACTGCTTAGTTTTGAAAATTCCCATGAAAATTGTACTTCATTTTTTTAATACAAATCAAACAAAATAGGACCCTACTTAGCATTTTTTTATTCATTAATTTTTACGCAAAAAATGTTCATTATTCATTCTGATCAGACAAACATTTCTTACCTGACATTTTTTCGACCAACATCCCATTCTAATCTTACAAATTGATCCCTAGAAAAATAAATACAAGACTTTAAGTTTTAATTATCTAAGTATAGTTCAAATGACAATAGATTAAATGACAATAAACAGTGCATAACAATGGACGAAATCTAGCATCTTAACCAACTGCCATTGCAAAAAAAAAAAAAAAAAAAAAAAAAAAAAAAAAAAAAAAAAAAAAAAAAAAAAAAAAANGAAAGAAGAAGAAGAAAAAAAGAAAAAAGAAAAACTGAGCAGGGAAAAAAAAATTAAAACTTTTTGATTTTAATGTAAAATGGCCTTCCAAATCAGCATATGATTACCGTTTGATTTTAAGGAAAATAAAATGATTATTTTTATCGTTAAACTTTTTATGAGGGGAAGCAGGTCTACCAGTGGTTCCTCAAAACTATTATAAAGGTACATAATTTTTGATCCTAAAATGTATTTCTAAACTTTTCTATGTATGTCCCTTTGGGATATTTCATGATGAATGGGATAAGGGCCGTTTGGGCCTCAGATGCCCAGTTCTACTACAACAAACGAACGAACGAAAATCTATTTCATGTTTTTGAAAAGTTAATATGAAACCTTTCTGATCGCAATAATTCAATAATTCGAACACATATAAAGAGTTATGTTATGGATGGGGTGAAAATGTATAGCATTCAAGTGGTTGCTGATGCACAGAGCTGCCAACGATGAATATTTTCTAGCGGTAACGTGGTAGCTTTTCCTTGCAAATGTAACCTTAATGTGGGTTAATTCCACCAAAAAGTCCTCCTCGAAAGCTGGTTTGTCCCGATTCTTGATCCTGAAGTTCCTATGTCTAATGGGTTTGGTTACAACAAAATTACAAGGTTACGTAGTTGAACATTGATAGTCATAAACCAAAAATGGGTCGGCTGTTCAATGTCTGTTATTAAATAAAGTAGAATGTTTTATGAAGCTAATTGAACTTTTATTGGTTTTTACAGTTACTTCGTGCCGCGTCTTTTAAAGAGTTAGCAGAAACAACCAAAATTCTGCAAATTTCAGTTAATAGCTCTCTTGCGTTTTTTAGAATGATGTGTAGAATCCGGAACAGTTGACATCTCTAGATACAGGTAAATTTCCCCTGTTTTGATAATAAGTTAATTGCATACATGCCAGCTTTTACGCATTTGGCGTAAAATTTTATTTCTATATTTATAATGGTGGTAAAATGTATGCTTTCTATATGTCCCTTGCATTTATAAACTTAATTTATAATATTTTTAATCCACCACTATTATTAAAAAAATTAAGCATATATATTAATCTGTAATATTTTTTAAACACTGCACAAATTTGCTCAAAATACACAGAATGTTTCTGACTGAAATTGTAATTTAAATTTCGTTTAGCTACCCCTCGGGAAAATCGTCCTTGAAAGGATTAAAAGTTGGCAGGTTTGGCAAAATTGCTGCTATGACAATTTTGGCTGACCATTGGACGTCCAGGGAAGCAGTGTATAAAAATGGAAATTTTTTGGCAGAGTTTTCCCATTTAAATTGTCATAATATTTAAAAATGAGCGTTTCGTAACTTATTATATACTGATTCTAGCTTACAGACCCAGCTTAATATCGATTCTGCAATTTTTTTTAATCAGCTCAGCGAAACTGTGTTCTTTAACCCTTTACATAACAGCAAGTTTCGATTGTAAATTTCAGTTAGGAAAGAAATAAGCTAGAGAGATCTTATACAGTACATTCGAAGTGAAGCGACATACCTTAACTAGTGGTTGCTAAACATTTAAAAGCAATGAGTTTTACATTCCTAGTAGCTTGTAACATTTGCTGAATTAGTGCTGCCGGACTGGGTTACACTGAACCGGAAAGAGTTAAGTAGCGACATTGCATATTTCTTGAAATAGTAATTAAAAATATTAAATTATTGTTACTACCACTTTTTAATATAAAATTTAGTTTTGATATTATTTATTAAAATTTTAAGATTGACGGTTGAATTCACTGAAAAAATACGTAATGAATGAGTTAAAGCCCTTAAATCGGCTGCATACGAAGATAACGAGCTTATAGAGGTATAGGTTATATTCACGAGCATTTCGAAAGAAAAAAAAATTCTGATTTCTAGGAAAAAGTAGTTTATTCGAACATCTTAACGAGAGGCTTTGTTTTTTATAATGCTAACAAAACACGTAAATTATTATTATTTTATGATTTATAATATTATAAACACTACTACACATAAAAAGTGTTAGCGTAATTAAAACAAGTCTTGTTTATAATTTTAAAATAAATTGTTATATCAATACCTTGGCAAAGAATTTTAACTAAAAAGGAATTAAATGTAAGAAACGGCACCTACAGGGATTAAACAAAAATATGGAAACGCTTAATTCTATGTAAACTATCTTTCTTTTCAGAGTTTGGAAGATTTTACATGGCAAAACAGTTGGCACAGTTTGAAGGTATTAGAAATTAAATGAATTTTATCCATGCAAAATTCGTAGAAAGGAAGTTAAAATTTGATTTCTTATTTCAATACCACAATAGTGAGGAAAAAACATTCTGATAGAAATATTGCTATCCTATAGATTGTTAACTTCCTCAAAATTAATTCAATTAAAAGTTATTTCATTTTCCCATTTGTTTTGAAAGGAGTAACACATTCGTTATTACCGATATTATAAATAATTCAAGTGCTACAATAACACGGTATATTCAGTACTACAATAAAACAAAGGGGCGCTACGCGGCCCAGGTGCCCAGTTTTATTAAATAAGAGAAGGAAGGACTATGATAAAACACCGGAAAAAATTAAAATGAAGTTGGTGCTATGGAACAACTTTGCACTAGATAAGATAAAATTTTGCTTAATCCTTCTTCAAATTTTTATCGATAAAAGCCAAATTATGGTTTTTATTATGTTAAATATTATTCTAAAAGTTGCCTACTCACTCACATGCAATGTTTTAATGATGTATATTTCACGATTTTGATCTAAAATCAGGTGATTGCGATATTTTATAATTCTGTGTTGTAGCCAATACAAGAAACTATAAAATTTCTCCAAGTTTAAATTAGCCCAAGCATAATCAATTTAAATTCGTCTACTAAATGTTGCATTTTTGGAAGAAACAGTCTGCAATAGTTTAGTTAACTTGTCGAACTTCTTGAAAGAAATATTATTTCATAATCGTTTCTGTTATCACATTGCTAGTCAAACTCAAAATTATAATGGTTACTAAACATTGAAACTTAAAAGTTTGTTTATAAGTCACTTTTTAGGCAAATATAAACTGAAAACCGCCAGCCTAACTTATCTTATAGTTATATATAAATTTAAGAAGATTAAAGAACAAATAATTTTAAATTATTAAATTGAGTTTCACAAAGATGAGGTTTTAGTTTCATTTTCACCTTTTTAATTAATTATCAAAAGTAGGATTGCCAACTTTCTATGCTTTTTGGTAAAATTTCTTTTTGTGGCAGTTAAGTTTATGTTATAATATATGATTGTTCGTTTTGTAAATTTGATTTAAAATTACTTTCCACGTTTATAGGATTGTCGGATTGAAATGGGTAAGCTTTTGGCTTCTTTTAGTAATTTAACTATTTAAACTGTTATTTTACTAACATTTTAAATATAAAGCTAAAGTTTCCGTATTTGTTACTATGCATTTGGTTAATTTAATAAAACAATTAAACAATGTTCGAACATTGACTTTTTTAAACGAAATGTTCTCTCAGCATTAAAAATTTAATTTCTATCTAAAAAATATAGGCTCTATTTTAATATTTTAAGATTTAACTTAGCGACTTTAACAGGGCTGCCAGTTTTCTTCGCTTTTTGGGAAAATTTCTTCTAGTGAAAGCTAACTTTATGTTTTAATGTATGACTCTTTCTGTAAATTTGATTTAAAATTACTTTACACATCTCTACTTTTGAATAATTCCTTCCTATGAAAAATTATGTTCTAACTTTCTCATTGCAAGGCTTTCAAAATTTTGTCAATATTACCAGAAATTTCGAAATTTTCAACTGTTAAATGTTTAAAGCAAAAAAAAAAAGTTTTAAAATATTTTTAATATTATTTTTAAATATGTTCTGATAAATTATTCATAAAAAAAATCTAGAACAATGTATGCTACAAAAATAAAGCAATTATTCTCGGATGTTTAAGAGAAAAAAAATTAACATTCTAAAGATTTTTTTAAAAACTTAATTTAATTTATGTATATATATATATATCGAAGAGCCATTACATTGCGACCACCTTGCTAATAATATGTAGGACCACCTTTAGCCCTCAAAACTGCTAGCACCCGCCGTGGCATTGATTCCACATGGTGCTGATAGGTAGTCTGAGGTATCTGGTACCAAGCGCTCACCAACNTTAGACTTCCCTTGCCGTCAGACTAACCATGGGAGGTTTTCAGGGTTTTTCTCTTCATGTAACGTAAATGCGAGTTAGTTCCGTCAAAAAGTCCTTGACGAAAGCAAATTTTTCTCAATACTTCATCCAGAAATTCCCTTGTCTTCTTGATAGGGTTAAAAAATTACAAGGCTACGGAGTTGAATATTAGCAGTCGTAAAACCGAAAATTAGGTCTGAAAAATGGAAAATCGTGTAGTCCATGGACTGCTTAAATTTATTGCTTCCAAAATTCAGTCATATTCTTGAGTTCATTAAAATTTTGTAAGATCTTTTTATATCATAGCAAGGTTATTAGGGCACATGCCCAAGAGGTGGTGGGTTCGATCCCGTCTCGAGTGACTGATGCATGTGAAATCTGTCGGGTCACAAAGTCCTTCATGTTACCATAACAAATTAATATCTCTGGGGGTACTGATCAAGGAGTTTCCCTGTCTTCTGGATTGGTTCAAAATGGCAAGGCTACGGAACATAAGTGGTCGTAAACCCTAAATTGGGCCGGCTGTTTAAAGACGGTAATAATTACAATTTTAATCTATCATTAGAGTACGGTTAAAACTTGATTTATTTCAATTATAATAAAATCGTTGATTAAAAGTTCTGAAAAGAAATCTAAGAATAAATTTACTTTTGTAGATGGATATTATAGAAACTGAGCAAAGATGCTACAAAGAATTGGGAAGGATATACGGGTAAGTTTTGTTCTTTATAATAAGGGTCTTTTTTTTTTTTAGACTCAACATACAGTTCCACATATAAGCATCCCCATGTCAAACACCATGAACGCATAATGGAAAATGTTGGAAATATGGTGACCATCAAAATTCTCGCTAAAACCAACAAAAACCATCAAAACACCAACCATTTTTTGATAGGACCATCAAGACTTTGACTTTTGTAATTATTTTTCAAAATATCATAATATTTCTTTAAACCCACAAACTTTTTCTTTTACTTAATGAAGAATTAGCAATTGAGATACATAATAAGAGAATATATATATATATATATATATATATATATGGGTGCAAATAATAAAGCGGAAATAGTTTCGTAATTTACAAATTAAAGATAAATTTAAGCATTTCTTAAAATTCTTAATAAACCTTAGCTACCACTAATTTTTTTCTTTGCGATTGTGGAAACCCTGTCTATGTAACCGATCAGACAACAAATGTAGCAACAAATGTTTTGGAAGATTTTTGATGGCAAAACTACTTGAACAATTTGCAAGGACATGCTTGAAGCGTTTAGAAATGATGCAAAAGATTCACCCATGCAAAATTTAAATTATTGTTTAAAATAAGGGTAGGAAGTTAACACTGGGTTTTTTCTGGACGCGTCCTTTTGACGCATTTCGAATTTAATAAGGAAAATTTCAAAACCCGTTTGCATTTTTATTTTATCTCTTGTAATAACTTTTATCCATTGTTCGAGGTAAATGTATACTGAAGTCTATTTTCTTCAAAAGCGTTGAAATATTGGATATGCTACGGATATGCGTCAATTTGAGGCGATCGTAATTTAGACAAAATTTTGAGTAAGCATGCAAACATCACATCAATAATAAATAAGAATGTACCGACAATACTTCGATTCGTTATCCGATATCGTTATATCAAATGAAACAAGCGATAAACAACTTTTGCCGATAAGCAATAATAGAAAGAACAAACGCAGAATGTCAATTGATGTCAGATTTTGAAGGTTTCAGTTGCTTAATTCGAGTATTGAAAAATAAAATAGTAGAATATTTGATAAATCTGTATTTTTTTTATTTTTATTTCTTTTAGTATATAATGCCAACTGTTCCGGACACCCAAAGTAATTAGAAAAAACGGTAGATAACTACTAATTAAATGTTGCAATTATTTAGTGGTGAATAATATAAGCCTACGAATTGTTTAGAAATAGTGGTGGATAAAAATCTACTAAATTGAATTTATTAAACCAAGAATCACAATTGATAAACTACCATTTTAAAATATATATTTGCTGTCCGAAGCAAGTTGGCATCTNTTTTTATTTCTTTTAGTATATAATGCCAACTGCTTCGGACACCCAAAGTAATTAGTAAAAAACCGTAAATAACTACTAATTAAATTTTGCAAATATTTAGTGGTGAATAATATAAGCCTACGAATTATTAAGAAATAGTGGTGGATAAAAATCTACTCAATTGAATTTATTAAACCAAGAATCACAATTTCGTTCATGCGTCAAATTGACGCGTGTTCGTAGAGATAGATATATAAAGAAACGTCCGTAAACCTAGTGTTAAAAGCAAATTTCCTTTTCCAATACCACTATAAAAAAGCATATTTATATAAATATTGCAATCCTATTGAATGATTTCAATCCTATTGGTATTACAGCCAAATATAATATATTAATTTCGAAAGCTTATTTTGGTCGATGCGAACTTTGCATGGGTAAAAATGACATGATTTTCAAATGGTGCAACAGTTTTGCCATGGTCATCTTTCCATCATCAAAACATTGTTACAATCATTGTTATCATCAAACATGTTGCCATCTTTCAAAACATTTGTTGCTAAATGAAAAATGGTTTGAATAGAGTTATTAGAGATATGTTTCCATTATTTGATCAACCCTTATACCTAATCAATAATTTACTTTATCAACCCTTATACCTTATCAATAAAAAACCTTTTTTTTCGAAGTTTAAGCAGGAAATAAATTGGCAATAAATAAAAAAAATATCTTTAGCAGTGAGAACAAAACAGATTAAGAAAACTTATGTAGTTTCTCACGTAGTCTCATTTAGTTAGTAGTTTATCTGAAATTATAATTATAGTTACATTTAAATTAAATGCTCAGCAGTTTTACTTAATCGTAGAAACCTTTTTATATAGTTTTATAATTTGAAATTCAATTTATAGTTTAAATAATTATCTAAGAATTACGTACGTTTTTTAATAGTTGCCACTTACTTTTGTCTGTTTTTTAAGGCAATAAGTGTACCGCTATCCTCAAGCTGCGTGCCGTTGATTTGATCTGGTGCAATCATGTCTAACATTGCAACAAAATAACGCAACATACAAAAATAATTAATCCTCCTTTGAAATTTTATTTTAACTCCTATAAAAAGTTACGTTCAGCCAAATACATTTTTATAGGAAGCCAAAGTTATTGTTGTAGTAAAACTAAAATTTGTCTCAAAATAATCGTAAAAGCATTTGCTTTGCGTGTGTAACATAAGATACATAGTAAAGCTCGTCGTGTTTTTCAGTATTGTTTATCATTACATCATTTGTTGTTTAGCAGATTTTGAAGAAGAAACGACACGTATAGGCAAAGATTAAAGATGATACAAACAGGTATATGTATAAAAAGTAACTTTTTATATCTTAATATAATTATCCTGTTATCGATATCAGTTTTCAATTATTTAATTTACTTCTTACATGTGATCAAGAACCTGGTCATAATAGAGTACCCCTTACAAATATATTTGTTTGTTCGTGTCGTATTTTTACGCAAATGTATTAGAAATGTAATCAGCCTTTCGAATTACATGATTGAGCAGAATTATATCATGATATATAAGTTTGCTGTTTATAATTGAAAGCAGCGAAAGATCTCAAAGCTATATAAAATTACCTAAAAAATTTTTAGTTCTAAAAATTAAAAAAAATGGGGAGGGGGGAGTCATTTCTCCTTTGTTTACCATTTTATTTAAAACTGTTTAAGAGAAGACTTTACTATTTTTATACAAACTATTTAATTTATCTTAGGTTTGAAAAACAGTTAAGTTCTATAGTTCTATAACATGTTATAGCTGTAAAAATTTTTTTGGAAGTAAGTTTTTTTTAAAATTTACAGTAAAAACATTTGATCTGCGTTTAAACGTGTATGCACGTCATTGCCTGATTTTAATTCCGCTCCCTATGGGTGGTTTGCAAAATTAAATTCCTCACTTAAGTGTTAAGGTATAATTTTTTTAACGTTTATAGTTTAATTTTCTTTTTTTTTTTAAATTTTAACGAGGCAATTTTCTATGAGAGAAAACATGTTTGTAGTGGGGTTGAAGAAGACGGAGAAAATGTTCTGTCACTTTCATAGGCTCGCAAACACTGACCTTATACGTACTAAAGAGTACGTATGCGTATTAAGGAGTACGTATTCGTACTAAAGTTTACGTATGCGTACTTATACAATGTATAATGCTATACAGTATTGAGACATTGCTTCCTATAACTGAAAGCCTCTACACGGTTTCTTAAAGGTAGTCTGATCAGACCATTATACAAGAAAACCAGTTTACAATTGCCATTTTATAGAAAATCCAGTAAAGACAAGAAAATTGTATTATATACCTGTATATATTTAAAAATTTCTTTTATTAATGAATATAATTAGTTTGTCTTACTTCCTTGCTAACCACTATATATTAATTTGTCAAATATATGAATATTAAAATAAGATAAACTTATTTGGTTATAATTATTATGGATAGTTGACTGTATGCAAACAATAACAAGCTTTCTTACAACCGGACGAAATTTAGAAAACTTCCAGCGTATCCCTCCGCTTATGTTATGCTTACGAGGAAATGTGTGAACAGGCTTAATATTCCAGGAAGTTTTTTTATTGTGATTTGTGTTTAAATTTGCGATTAATTTTACCTTTCATAAGACTTTTCTGTAATTCATCAATTCTAACAAGCCGCGAGCCTAAAACAAATTTAGGAAAATTAATATCACAGCATAAATAATATGTAAGGTTTGCCATGGTTTGAGCGTTATCCCTAAATTGGCTATATTTGTGTAAAATGGCGCTGTTTATTATTTTTTAGGTAGCACCATAAGTAGCAAGCTTGCGGAATCTTCTGTTGTTTGCTTCGTTGAAAGTTAAATTGAAAAAACGAGTTTCATTGAAAACACTACAAGCATTATAAAATTAGATGGCGCAATTTTTTTCAAGTTTAGGCTTAAAAATCAGTCGTATTATATTAACCCGGAAGTCTTACAGCGAATTTCGACCTCCAGCGCCATCTGCGCTTAGCTTTACACGGTTAATCATCCATAGAAATTCTTCTTATGCGCAAAACTGGTAGACTTTTTAAACAGTCTGCGACGACTGCTTATAGAAACCGTGTGGAGACTTTCTGTAGTCTGTGTGATGTTGCTCTTCTAGTGACATGACGTAATCAAGACTTTACATTTATAAATTGAATTCATAAGTTATTACACTCAGCTTTAAAGACTAAGCAGAAGAAACAACGATATTCTATTGCATTTGAAATTTTTTAATCTTTTTTTATGTAATTTATCAACCTTGCTGACTCTTACGGATACGATGAAAGGGACAAAAGCCATTTTTAGCTCAAGCTCCATTTGATAAGTGAAGTGAATGCATTGTTATTTGATATGAATTTTCTACCGATTTGATAGAAAGCTGATAATAGCAGTTGACTGACGTTTTGAGTGAAATGTTATTTTTATTTACACTACGAATCACAATAACAATGGTAGTGGTAGTGCGGTATTTCAGTGTTTTGAATTCGTATTAAACTTATTTTGATAACGGACACAATTATTTGTTTTCAATTATTGTCAATCAATTTCAATCATTGTCAGCAGAGATTAAAATGATTGAATGGAGTTTATAAAAAATGAATTGGGATACAAATTTTAATGAGTTCGTTTAGGTACATAAGAATCATGGCGAATTCATTGAATTTACTGGTTTTTGGTTTCCTACTATCACGAATTTTGAGAAAATCAATGTGAGATGTATATTTGTTCGGTTTACCGCAAGTTGATCTAAATATTTAAATTTTTCTTCATCTTCTTGTTATACCTCTATTTATTTTATTCAAGTAATATCACCAGGGAGCATTTTTTTTTTGTTTTCTGTTATATGCGATTTTTAAATAGATCTTCGATATTTTCGGATTGCTGATTTCAAATCTGCAATCGGTTTCTTTCTTTTATACAATTTAAAAATATATTTCTAACCAGGTTATTATTTTTAAGAAAATTATTCGAGTGAATTATAAGTGCCCCCACTTTTCTTATTCCGTCTCAAGCGGAGTCACGACATGCATTTGTTTTAGAAAGTAATACAATACAATTGTAAACTTAGAATGCAAATGTAACCTTAAGTTTTGCAACAAACAATTAATTAATTGTACAGGGTTCCCCCGGTTTTTGAAAAGTTTTAGTAGTGGTGGTAAATTTAGGTTGATGCTAGAAGATATTTCTTACTTGAATTTACCACTATATTGTAAAGTGGGGTAGAATAGGAAATTTCATTCATATACATCTTTGGAAAGCAATTTTTAGTGGTGGTTACACAGAAATTAAAATATCATCAATAGTTTTATTTTCGTTACCGCTATTTAAAATTTTCAACGCCCGCGATGGCCTTGCGTTGGCAGATATTTTAATTAAAGAGCTAAGTGGATGAACGAGATTGAGACACTTTCAGAGTGGCTATTAATAGGGTAAGAGGAAAAAGAAGCCGAATCGAACTATTTTATTACAGATTTATTAGAAGGAGGGTTTAATAATTCTTTGCCTCATTCAATTTATTACTAATTAAATTATAACAAACACCATCCAAGTGTATTCAAAGCTGATATGAATTTTGTTGTGTTAAAATTAAAGTGAAAACAAAAACAATTCTGCTACATTAACCCGTTTTGTCCCAAATTCACATATTGAAATGATACAAAAAGATGTTTTATAGAAAAAGTGGTAAAATACATTAACGAAATTAATTGGTTTTTTCCACTGTTAGGGCAATCAAAAAGTCTTTGATAGATCAAAAAGTACTTGCTTCTTATAATTCTAGATCTAATCAGAAATAACTAAATCATTGTGGTATCTGAGAATCTTTTAATTCCCCCAGATAATTGAAAATGCTGAAAAAAGTTTCCAATCACAATGAATGTCTTTGAAAAAAGGAACTGTCCTAAATATATGACGCTGGGCGTTAACCGGTTAAGCACATTCATGTAAATGCGACCTATTTATGTTAATTTCCCTGATTTATAAATACCCCTGAAAATGTCATTTGTCTACTTCATGCTTCCCAAAGTGTGGTACGCGTACCGCCAGTGGTTCGAGAACAGTTTAGCGGGGGTACGCGTTCTTATGTGAAATATCTTTCAAACGAAAATTCCAATTTTTTTTTTTTTTAAAAATATGAAACTTTTTGATAGCGTATTTATCTATTAGCTACTTTTTGCAGAGTTAACAGTTAATAATTAGTGGTGTCAACAGCCAGTTATAATTTTTAACTCTCGTGCAATTTTTTTAATAGTAAGAATACATTAATTTTCTTATTAGAAGTACACAGCGTTACGAAAATTTTAGAAAGGGTACACAAAAGTCATAAGTTTGGGAAACACTGGTCTACTTCATCCACTAAGTTCTTCAAATTTAAAAGTGGGTCAAATATCCCTGAATGACAGTTTTCAAAAAAAGATTTGCAAGATAATTTAAATCAAATAAAAAAAAAAAGTGTGAAAAATATTTATTTTGTGACTAAAGCTTTCTGTGTGTCATAAAATAATTTAATGTGTTAGAGTAGTAATTAAATCTGGCTTTTCTATCAATTATCTTTACTTTTATGATTTCAGTAATAACTTTGAGAAAGAAATGCTACACTCGTGGGACTAGTTAATAATAAGTCGAATTTTTTTGTAATTACAAATTGCTTTAAAGCTAAACTATACACATCAGTGACAATAATTGTTAAATGTTTTCCTTTAAATCTAAGCCCCCTATTTTGTCAAAATCGTGAAATTATTTTATCATGAAAATAAAATATATATATATAT